CTAGGGAGGCCAGTGGCAGGACTCTGCTTGCTCAGAGCTGGCACCTTGGACCCAGCTGGCTGTGGCTGACCTCCTGGCCAAATGGGGCCAGGAGGACATGCTTTGACAGTTCAAAGCAGGCCACCACACCTGGAACATCTTCTGGGCGATAGCTGCCCAGATGGCTGGACAGGGGGCACACCTGGCAGTAGTGCCATAGAGGCCAACCCTGCAACCACAGTCCACTGGCAGCTGGCCCACAGGGGCAGATGCCTCTACTGGCTGTTTAGTTCCCATCTGGGTCTGGCAGGTGTGCAGCAGCTCACAGCCAGGCAGCAGCCCCCACTGCCAAACCCCTGCAGTGGGTAGAGGGTGCAGGGAACTCTCAGGGCTGCTTCAGCAGCCCAGCTGGAACAAGGGGTAGTGTCCCCAGGAACCAATTGGCTGGGCCCTAAAACTCCTGAGAGCTAGTAGCCCTGAGCTACTTGCCAGGGCAGCTTTTTATACTGCTGTAGCCAGGACAGGGAAGCCTTTTATACTGCTGGGGACAGCAGAGGTCCTGGCCCTGGGCTCTAGGTCCCTCTGGCTGCAGATCTGGGAGGAGCCAGGCAGAGTTATTTTGCCCCAAGTGGCACAATTTGGTCCACACCAAAGTGCATGTCCAAGCACTGAAGCAAAAAGCCCTGGCTCAAATTTGCACTGCTTTTATTTGAGCTGCTGTAAGTGCACGTGCTTGCATGTGTGGACACGCCCATAGAGTGCAGTGCTGACTTACCCTGAGCCAGCAACTCATGAACTTTAATCCTAATTCTGACAAAAATTCCCTTCGTGGTCATAGGAAAACTGCTTCAACTTCCTGACTCAAGGCTGCACAACCCTGCCCCACTGCCTGACAGCCTCACTTATACTGGCAATAGTAATGCTTATCTATTATAGAGGGAATCTGTGAGGCTTAATTAATGTTTATTAAAAGTTTGGGGATCTTTGCATGGACTCTCCAGCAGGTGGGATAGGGTGACAGTCCATGGCCCCTATGAACATCTGCTCATTCTTCTACTAGCCCATCCATTTCCTATCTTTTCCCAAGTACAAATGCTGGATCCAAAGAAAACCTCTGTGGGGTTCAACAGAGGGAACAGGAATGGTGTTGGAAAGGTAGCACAGCCATTCCTTCCTGATATTGTAGAGGTGCCACCTTCCTGGGATACAGAGGAGAGCTATATGACCCTCCATAAGCAGATTTTGGAGACCAAGGAGGCAAAAGCTTCAGCTCTGTTTCTCCTAAGAGCTGACTTCAACCTGCTAAACTGAGGTAAAAGGTGTAATAAAGAATTGGTCCTGGCTGGGATCAGGGTTAGCTAATGTGCATTATCTATCCCAATATACCTTCAGTTTCAGGATCTGTAGAACAAGCCCATGCATCTCTACATATGTTTGGACAATCAAGGTGTCTGTACAGTTATCTGTACACTCCTTACTGGGAAAAAGAACAGCATTAACTAATGCATAGCAATCCCATGCATTTGAAGGAGGGGGAGGGGAAAGGGTCCACTAACCGTCATCCATGTATGTCACCACATTCAAATCCAAGATCTTTACTGGAGAAATGATAACTGGATGGAAAACTCCTTTATATTTTACCTCAGGGCCTAATAAGTAGAAGATTTAAAGAAAATGAAGATCACTACTTTTTTAGAATATAGCATCTGATGAAGTAGGCTTTTACCTATGAAAGCTTATGCATCTTTGAACCAGTTAGTTTTTAAAGTGCCACCCTCTTCTGCCTGACTTCTGACAGAGATTGCATACACACATTCAAATAATCTGGGAGAATTCTCCCAGGTTTGTTCTCCTGGTAGATAAACTTACCCAGAGCTGCATGTATATACATTTGAATGCTGAGGCTCTGAAGAGTGAAGAGCTTGCAGTGCTGACACTGCAAACATTGGGGACATCTCAGCATGCTTTGCAGGCAGCAGATGGCAGCAGAGCATATGACAGCTCTGATTGGCTGACCCAGACTGCCCATGGTCAGCCTGTGTTCCCCTGCAGCACAATGTGGGAATTGTGAAGGGGGCATGTTATGCTGTCTACTGGAGCAGAGTCCAGCAAGGGATACAAGGAGTGAGTGGGGGGATGCTGGGAGGCCATGCTGTCTTATAAGAAAAAACACGGCATATACAGACATTTGCTCTCCTGAGAGTGATTTAACCCTGGTTGTTCCCATGTTATTTTTCTTGTGGAGTGGCCATTTTTACAATGGGAGAAAAAGCCTGGACATCTGTACAATCATGGTTTCTCCAGAGCAGCTCTCTCAGGAGAAACTGAATGTCTATACAAAGCCTAACACAACAAACTACTTATCCCTTGCATTTTTATCATTGTTAAGTCTCAGTTTAAGAACATAAATACACAAGACATTCTAAATGCTGTTCATACACAAGAAGCAGTTTAACAGGACATGCTCTAATGCTACATACCTACACTAGTGTTACCAACAACCAGAGGTGCTTTTGGGTACTTGGCTTTCAGCTCCAGAAGCTCATCAAGGCTAGTAGGAGAAATCCAGGTAGTTCTTTCCCCATGGAAAACCAGAGTTCTTTTTGGCAGACATTCAGCCATTCTCTGTAGAGGAAAACATATGACAGTAGAGATAGAGAGGAAGTATGAGCACTGGGCTGAACCAGAAAAATCCCTTAAGCATCCCTCAGTACTGTGGTATATAGATGACCCTTCAGCATGGCTAGTGCTGGTAATGCTCTCTATAGTCAAGCCTGCTTGGTAACTTCCACCACCAGACGTTGTTTTCAGCTGCCTGTATATCTGTCAAAGTTTAATTTTGGTCTGAACCCTGGGCTATGATGAGTGTCTGCCTGAGACTGAATTATTGGGGTTGGGGGGAGGAAGGGGACATGTTAATACAACCAGTACCTAGAATGTTTCCAGATGTATTGTTTAAATACAAATTCTCATTTGCAGGATGGTCTCCCATACCCCTGTGTTTGACTAAACAGTTTTTGCCTTAGCAATGCCTGTAGAGAGCAATCGAGCCCCATCCCTACCCATCCAGCTAGCTATGTCTTTTTCATTGGATGTTTAAAAAAGCAGGTTAGATAAGTATCTGTCAGTAAGGACTTCAAGGCCCTTCCAGACCTATTTTCTATCATTCTACTATTCTGTTGAAACAAAACAAACTGAAAGATGTCAGACATCGTTACAGGTCTTTTTTGAAAATCTGTGATATTTTCCCTGATGATGTTAGATGGAGCATTAAAATGTGTAAGGATATATATGTAAACATAATGAATGATACAGCAAAAGCACAAACCAAGAAAATCAAAAGATGCTTCTTACCATTAGCTCTGGGGGAAATATGAATTCCTGGGTGGGGTCCAAGGGTTGAAAATCATCTGCTGAAAATAATTTCGTGCAGATCTTAAAAGCAGAACAAACAAAGAACAAAGGACTTTTTTTACTTTGTCACCCATTATAAAAAGGAAAGCATTGTAAGGTCTCATCTAAACCCCACTTATGTCCATGGAAGTCTGTATCATTACCCCGAAAGCCTTTGGAGTAAATGTTAAGCAAGATGCCATACATAAGCCATGGCTGCTACACAGCTCAATCACCCTCCCTTGTCCCCACTGGGGTTGGAAAGTAGAGATGAACATACCTGAACACCCAGGTGCAGGCTCCCTTCTATCGAGTGATAATGAGAAGGGATGGATTCATTTCCTATTCCCTCTACTTGACATACATAATAATACAGCAGAGATCATTGAAAGGAAATTTTGAATAGCCTCAATTGTTTATATGGATGGGAACTATCATATAAAAATCAGTGTCATGGCTCTGGTTTAGCTTCTGAAGGAAATTCTATATCCCCAATCCTATATTATGCACTCCGGAGGCATCTACACACGCAGGCACATGCACTTGCAGCAGCTCAAATAGCAGAAGCACAAATCTGTGCTAGAGATTTGTGCCTCAGCACATGTACCTGAACATGTGCTTTGGTGTGGGGTAAATTGTGCCACTTGGGGCAAACTGATCCTACCCAGCTCCTCCTGGATCTACAGCTGGGGGGGCTAGAGGCAGGGGCCAGCACCTGTGCTGGCCCCAGCAGTATAAAAAACTGCCCTGGCAAGCAGCTCAGGGCTACTTGCCCTCAGGTGCTTCTGAGATTCGTCCCCACCTTTCTGTTTTTGGTCACTCCATCCATGACCATACCAAGTCCCATGACCTCCTGGTCAACCTCCTCCTGGCCCTGGCCAAGTGGGCCCTATACTTGACCAGGAAGGAGGCTCTGATCAGGAAGGTGCCTGGAGACTGCAGGGCCGCTTTCCTCTCACTTGTCTCAATTGTGGTGGCCCACTTTGAACTGTCGCAGCATGTTCTCCTGGCCCCAAATGACCAAGAGGTCAGCCACCTCATCTGCCCTCCAGCTGAGTCCCATGTGCCAGCCCTGGGCAGGCTGCTCTGCTGGTGTCCTGCCACTTGCCTCACCAGCAGGGATCCTGGTTTTCTTTATTTTAGAATTGCAAAGTCCCTGATTAAAACCACAAAATCCATGTTTTTCTATGATTAAAATGAAACAGCACTATAAATATATAGGTATCAGTTGAGCACAACGTTTTGTTGATACATTTACAATTTTAATGAACTTCGGAAGCGTACCACCGCCTCAATCATTATAATAAAAAATAACTATATATTTTGGTGTTTGTTTTGGGTTTTTTTTATCATAGAAAATCAGAGCTCCCTCTGCCCCCTTTGCTCATGAGGATGCAGGGCCAGCTGTGGCTGTCCCAACAGCTGGTTTGTGGTGTTGAGCAGCACTGATATGCTGGTGCCCTGCCCTGCCCATGCCCTTGCCCCTCATTCCCAACACATTCCCTGCCAATGCCTCTCATTCCTGACCCGCAGCCCCAGTCGGCCCCCCACTGCACCAAGACACGGGTCCAGCTGCAGCTGTCCCACCTGCTGCTTTGTGGCTCTAAGCAATGCAAGCTCTTGATGTTCTGCTCCCTGTGCCTGTGCCCAGGCCCCAGTGATCCCCATGCCCTTCCTGGGAAACCCTTGACTTGGCAAGCCTCTTCCCTTCTAGGCTGGCTTCCCCCTGCAGAGGCTGCTTTAGGGGCGCAGGGAAGCTCCAAGTCCAGCTGTGGCAGCCACTTCTACCTGAAGTGCCCCCCTCCCCAACATCTGTCTCTCTCTCACACACACCCGCTGCCCCCCCCAGCCCATACAAAGATAGACCCCACTGACACCTCAATCCCTGCCCCCACCCATCACCCATCCTTGCTGACACCTCCCCTCTGGCCCATCATATCCCCCAAGTGGTTCCCAGGACCAGGATCCCCCCCAGGCAGGGGGTTGGTATGGGCGCAAGGCAAGCCTTCAATGTGACGATTGCTTGTGAGGTCACAGCTCCCACCATCAGGTCCAGTCATGTCCGATGGCTAGGCATGCACAGTGTGGAGCTTGCAACAGGGGTGTGGGGTTTGTTTGGGGGTTGTAAAGGGCTGTGGGTGGGTGTGGGGTTTCAAAGATGTTAGGGGCTGGAAGGGACCTTACAGATCATTGGGTCCAGTCCCCTGCACTTGGGCAGGAAAGACTGCTGGGATCAGTTGACCCCAGCAAGATGGGGCTTGTGGGAAGTGTGTGGGTATGGGGTTTGTAGGGGGGTGTGGGGCTCCCCTGACACACAGCCCTCATCTCCCATGGTGCTGAGACCCCAACACTGGCAGCAGCAGCAGCAGGTGGCAGGCCCTCAGGGGGCTCATGGCCCGCCATAGGCAGAGTACCCGATGGAGTGTGGCTCTGGCTGAGTTCCAGGAGCTGCATGTGGAGGAATGGAACTGGCCTGGCCGAGCCCACTGGCACGTGCCTTCAGGCCAGCATGTGGGACTCCTGGCACTACAGGCAAGCTGCACACGCTAGGGCCAGGCCAAGCCAGGCCGGCTCCATGACTCCATGTGGAGCTTCCAGCAGGGATTGGCACATGGCAGCACGGAGCCTGCCTGGCCCGATGGCATGTGACACCCCATGGGTCCCAATCTACGTGCCATTGAGCTGGGAAGGCTCTGTTTCACCACAGGCAGCCCCCAGAACTCAGCTAGAGTGGCACACTGCAGGGGGGCTCTGCCTGCCCTGAGCCATGAGTGCCCTGAGGGCCAATTGCCTGCTACTGCTGTTGCCACAAGCTCCTGCAAGCCATGCCCTGGTTTTTTCTCCAGCATGTTGAGGCAGCACACTGGACAGTAGGGGGACACAGGAGCCATAGAGATGCTCTGGCCAGTTGCCAAAGTGTCTCCTTGGAGCACCCAGCCTCCAGCTGCTTCAGGCGTGCTCTGAGAGCACACCCTCAACCACTGTTTCCAGCGCATTTTTGTTTTTATACTGGGATTTCCTGTTACCAAGTTTAGAGTCTACACTGCAAATATGCAGTTCAGGGAACATTTTCTTGTGTACGGTGTGCCTTCTGTGGCATCTCAGACTCCTTTGAGTTGCTGAAACATGCACGTGCAGGCTCACGTGGACATGGCCTCTGTGGTTAAACCCTGGAGCCACCACAAAACTTCATTGACTTCATACAGGTCCATGTAAGCACAGAAGTTGTGAATGCACAGGTCACTGCAGGATCACAGCCTAAGAATATCAACATTCTTCAACTCAGAAGCATAGGTGGCAGAAGGAAGGGGGATAATGGGGCTTAACCCCTTCAAACGCGGTCAGTGGTAGGGCTGCAAGGCATCCTGTCCTAGGGCTTCTGGCGGCTGCAGCAGGGGGAGGGGCATTGGGCCAGTGGCATAGGACTAAGCCGCAAGCAGTTTGTCTAGGGAGCACGGCTCCTGCTGCTATGTGCACCCCAAGAGGCATAGGGGGCACATGTCCCCGATTTGTGTGGGGCAGGATAGGCTGCCACTGTGGACAGGGCTGGGGTTGGGGCTGCACTGGGTTCTTTGTGGCATGGCAGGGCGCCAGGCTGTGCTTGGGGCAGGCGGCAGCAGCACACAGATCTGGGGGCACATGCTCCCCTTGCCTCCCAGGATGCGTGCAGCACTGGGAGCCATACCCCCATGCCCTCTGGATGAGCCATGACTCCATCCCGCACCACACCCCAGGTGTGCAAAGGGTGTGTGTGGGGGCCCTGGGGGCTCCATTCCCTCCAGCCCGGTGGTGCAAGCTGGACCTGCTCTGACACCTGGCTTTGGGCCCCCCTGGCTGGTGCGGGGTTGGGGCCCATGTGGGGAAGTAGCTGGGTCAGTGCAGGGCTGGGGGGCAGTGGGTTTGTTTGCATGGGAGGCGCCGGAGCCAGTTAATGACCCTGGATGTGGGGAAAAGGGGACGGCTGCATGGGTGCAGAGGGCCCTGGCCCTGATCCTAGGCCAGACTCAGCTCTGCTCCCTCCTGATCCCTGCCTGGTCAGAGCCCTAGCCCCACTCCTACTCCCACTGCACAGTTGGATGGGTAAAAAAATTGGCTGAAGGGGTGCACCCAGAGAGTAGTGGTGGACGGGATGTACTCAAACTGGTGAGATGTGAGCAGTGGGGTCCCCCAGGGCTCGGTCCTGGGGCCCGCACTGTTTAACATCTTCATCAGCAACTTGGACAAGGGGGTGGAAAGCATGCTGTCCAAGTTTGCTGATGACACTAAGATGTGGGGCGAGGTGGACACACTTGAAGGGAGAGAGAGGCTGCAACTAGATTCAGACAGACTACAAAAGTGGGCAGATGAGAATAGGATGGGGTTCAACGTAGATATACGATTGTGCTGCACCTTGGGAGAAGGAATCCACAGCATACATACAGGCTGGGGAGCTCCCTCCTTGAAAGCACAGAGGCGGAAAGGGATCTTGGAGTCATTACTGACTCCAAGATGAACACGAGCCGCCAACGCCAGAGCAAGGCCAGCCATACCTTGTCATGCATCCAAAGGTGCATCTCAAGCTGGTCCAGAGAGGTGATACTCCCCCTCTATGCGACATTGATCAGGCCGCAGTTGGAGTACTGCGTCCAGTATTGGGCGCAGCACTTCAAAAGGGATGTGGCCAGCCTGGAGAGGTTTCAGTGGAGGGCCACCCACTTGGTGAGAGGGCAGCAGCACAGGCCCTACAAGGAGAGACTGAGGGACCTAACCCTGCTCAGCCTCCGCAAGAGGAGGCTGAGGGGGGACCTGGTGGCTGCCTAAAAACTCATCAGGGGAGATCATCAGCAGATAGGAAGAGCCCTTTTCTCCCCAGCACCACCTGGGGTGACAAGGAAAAATGGTAATAAGCTGATGGAGAATAGGTTTAGGTTAGAGAACAGAAGGCAATATTTTACAGTTAGGGTGGCCAATATCTGGAACCAGCTTCACAGGGAACTGGTTCTCGCCCCTACCTTAGGCAAATTCAAGAGGAAGTTAGATGATCACCTGTCTGGGGTCTTGTGAACCCAGCGTTCATTCCTGCCTGTTGCAGCGGGTCAGGCTAGATGATCTGTTCAGGTCCCACCTGACCCTGGCTACTATGAAACTCCCTCTCCCCCGCTCCCTCCACAGACTTTCCCCACAACCCCAATTTTTTTTTCGTACTGCCTACGATACAAATATGCAAAATTCCCCTACATTAATACAGTGGTGGAAAAAAAGATAAAATCCCATTTCACACACCATCCTGTCCAACATGCACACAGTCCTTAGTTTTTGGATGCATTGCAGAATTTTTTACTGTGAACAGTACATTAATTTCCTGTGAAAATGAAAAATAATGTTCTGAATACCCAGGATACTATATTCAGCATTTTAAAAATACCAAAAAAGACTTCCCATTTTCACAAAACAGCAGCAGAAACCCTGAGGACATACTGCACTACAGGAAGCCAAGTGTAGGAAGCTGCATGAAACAGCACAAAGTACATTCTTTCAATACAAGGAATGGGCAGTGTAATTCTCTTCATCTCATGTCAAGTTCTATATTTAAATGGGACCGGGGAAAAATAAGCTTACCTTTCTTCCACTGTCACAAAACAAAGCTGAACTGTCTTTTTCCTCCAAGCAACAGTTCCCATTTTCTTTCTTTTGACAACAAAATGATTCCTGAAATAGTAATATCCCCATCATTAAACATATATCTGATGTAATGATGGTTCTGCCATGTGAACTGAACACCATTTTCTAGCAACAGTCATGTCAATGCTCAATATGAAGGTAACTAGCCAATTGCCTGTCAAGAATGACGGGGGGCGGGGAGGGGGGAAGGGGGCTGGGATGGAGTGCCACCACCCCACGCCCCACTGTTCTGCCTCTTTCAGGGAACAGGCTGGGGGAGCCAAAGCCAACGCTGCTTGGAGCACTCTTATTGGTTGTTTCTGTCAACCAATCAGTGCAAATAAAGCATTTTGCCCATCAAGAATGATGGGGAGGGGTAACGGGGGTGGGGAAAGAGACTCCCCCTCCCTCCTCTGTTCCCTGCTGCCTCCCCTCCCTGCTGGCTGTTGTTGTGGGGAGGGGACATCGGCTCCTGGCTCTAAGGAGCAGACCCAGGGGGGCTTGGCCAGCACTGCTGGCCTTGCCCCCCCGCTCTGTCACCTCCGTTATGGCAGCACTCCAGCCCCCCATCATCCCCGTCTGCCTCCACGGAGCAGGGGCTGGCCTCGCCCCCCTCCCCTCCAGCCCCTCAGTCCCCACTGTCATGTTGGCGCTCTGCTGTCTGTCCCTGTCTGTGTAGGGCACTCCAATTGGCTGCCGACACAGCCAATCAGAGCGCGAATAAAGTGTTACGGACAGACAGACTTAGGCTTTTATAATATTAGAATAATATAACTCCCCTTCAATGGCAGATTCTCTTCTTTTTACTTCCAAGGATCACATAAGCCCTTTTGGCTCTCAAGTTCTTTTCCAGAATCACTGCTCCCCAGAACAAAGTCACCCATCCTATAAGGATGGCACACTTTCCTTATGCTTAGAAGTATGCCTTTACAGTTGGCTGTGCTGAAATGCCTATGGCTTGCACCCAGCATAGCAAATGCAGCGGGTCACTTTATACAAGTGGCCTATTTCCTTTATTTATCACTTCCTCAGTCTATGTCATGTGCAAACTTCAAGAGTTTAGTTTTTTCCAGGTCAATGATAAAACTATTAAATGTCCATTTACAATTATACATTGTGAGCCATCAGGAGTTAATCTGCTTAATGTGTGCCATGTTAATTTGTATCAACAAGCTGTGGATAAGGCTGAATGACCCCTAAATAAAATTGCAAATATTCGTATTTTAATACATTGCATTTTTAATGTGCGTGTGCGCATGTGTAAAAGAAAGAAAACTAACAAACGCAGGTACAGAACAAATTTCAGTTGGATTAATTATATTTTATTTTATTCAGTGATTCCCATTTCAAAAACTTTGCACAAATACTATAGTAATTGCTACATAATATGAGGTAAGGAACTATGAGCTACAGTTACTCTAGATTTACACCTGTATAATCCAAAACAAAATTTGACCTAAAATTACAAGTTAAACGGTTCTCTAAATGCTAGGTGAGTTCCCCAAGCAAAATTTACACAAAAAAATTGGCAAACAGGTTGGACTTTGTCATCGTGGTTTGCTTTTTTTTTTTTTTTAAGGTCAAATCTTATTTCAACTCTCATACCAAATTCTCAACGACTTTGTTGAAACTACCTATGTGAAAGAGGTGAGTAAGTGTTGGTTCTTTTTATGAAAAGCTAATATTCACCAGGTTCCTATAATACTTGTGCCATTGTGCCAGCACACTCCAATTTGTATTCCTTAGCTAGATGTTGCAGAGGTTCAAGTGGCTACGGACCAAATCCAAAACTCACTTGTACAGTAAAATCCCTGCTATCCAGCATTCTATTAGCTGGAATACTATATTAACTGGCACTGTGCTGCCGCCGCCATCATCCACCACCCCGTGCTGCTGCCATGTGCAACCACTCTGTGCTGCCACTGCCATCCACCACCCCATGCCGCTGCGTGCAACCCACCTCTCCCCCCACTCTGGTATTTTTAGGTAACTGGCATTTTTGTATAACCAGCACCCAGCATTCCCCACTCATGCTGAATAATGGAGCTTTTACTATATTTATAAAAATACAAAAATATATTTACAAAAAAGCAAAATCTCCCATAAGATTTGGATAAGGCCCTAAGAAATGGCTTCTCTGTCCTATTGAGATGGAAAGCCAGGCTCGCTTGATAGAAAAAAGGATACAATTTTGTATAAAATCATAATTGTCTGTGGTTGTTTAGATACTATAGCTCATAATAATTTATTTCTTCCACTGTATCTTCCCTGCTTCCTCAGCTCCCTCCCCAAAAATAAAAAAATCCTTAGAAAAATGTTCTATTATGCCTCTTACCTTACAGAAAGTTTTACAGCCATCTAAGATTGGCCTATATCCAGTACAGCGGCACAAGTTACCTGAACAGAAAAAAACATTAAGAGAAAACTTAATTCATCCGAATCTGAAGATTCGACACTGATTTGGAGAATCAATGATTTGGACACAGACACAGCTTTAAAAGTTTTTTCTATGTACCTCGAGGTACCAGACGCAGCTCATGATCGCTGCGACTCTGGGGCGGATGGAGCATCCCACAGGAGTGCAGGGGGGCCCTCCATGTGCTCAGCAGCTAACCCAGAAGTGGACTGAGAGTACTTCCGATCCACATCTGGGTCTGCCAGGGAGCGCATTGGTGGCTCCTGTGCTCCCCCCCAGCTCAGTGAGCAGCCGCAGAGGGAAGAGATTAAAGGGGC